TCGGGGTCAGACGAAAGATGCACCTCCAATGATGTCATGCGAAATAATGTTGCTTGAGAAACCATTCGTGTAATCTATTCACAGCGAAAAGCACTAACTCGCATATATCTGGGCAAATGTTTGTCGCTCGAGTGGCATTAGAGCCGGCTCATAGCTCGAAATAAAGCTTGAGTGGAATTCGCTAGAATACTCGTATTTAGCAGCAAAGAACCGATGGCGATCTAAATGACATCATGCGAATGGCGCTAATAAACAAGCGAAAACAAAAACAGACGCTAAACATGCTGATATATATCTATGTAGAAACCTCACAAACATAAAAATAGCTACAAATTCTTTCCAGTTCAAGAATTTTGTATGACAACACTCTCATGTTTGAGGTTGTTAATTCAAACCTCAAAACTTTCCCACCTCCCAAGTGGTTGTAGGTCTAGTACAGTTGGCTCAAAAAAGCGTAGCCGTGTACAGTTGCCTCTGAAAAGGTGAACTAATATGCCATTTCTTTTGCAGAAATCAACACCCCCGATAAGTTGGAGTACCAATTCTTCCCCGCCAGCGGAGGAGTGTTTACCTTCAAGGTGCGTTCTCCCAAGGACGCCCATTTGGCCCTCACACCAACCCCCGATGAGAACGGGCCCATCTTCGAGATCTTCCTGGGCGGATGGGAGAACACCAAGTCCGTAATCCGCAAGGACCGCCAGAAGCCCGAGGTGACTGAGGTGCCTACTCCGGGCATCCTGGATGCCGGCGAATTCCGTGGCTTCTGGGTGCGCTGGTACGACAACGTCATCACCGTCGGCCGCGAAGGAGACGCCGCTGCCTTCCTTTCCTACGATGCTGGTAGCCTGTTCCCAGTCAATTTCGTCGGCATCTGCACGGGATGGGGTGCCAGCGGAACCTGGCTGATTGATGGTGAGTTTCCACCCAGCTCCACCCCTTTTTTATCAAACGTCCAGCACAACGTCCTCTCTCTGATTAGTTTACCCATCGTAATGATCTAAATGATCTATTGTTATACAGCTGCTCAATGAAACCTATTGTTTTCACCAAAGTCAGCTGCTTCTATTTGCATATCTAGTATTATTATACCCACTACTTATAGGGTTGGTCTTACATTATTTGGAACTGATACGTTGGTCCATAAAAAACCAACCAAACTGTCAGTAATACTAAATAGGTCTTTAAGACTATATATTTTCTATACATATGGCTTGGCCTAGTATATACATATATGAGTTGCTGTTGATTTCATAGATTTCTGATAAATGCCACTATTTCTTTGCAGAGCCCGCTCCATCGGCTCCCGCCATGGGCTTTGCCGCGCCCACTGGAAGCGGACCAGGATGCTGGGTGGCCGCCGCCAACGGAGAGGTTCCGCCCAACGCCCTGGAGGGAGGATTCGACAGCAGCGAGCAGTTGTACATCGCCCGTGCCCGCCATGAGGGCGACCTCATTCCCGGCAAGCTGCATCCCTCCCATGGAGTGACCTATGTGGCCTGGGGAGGCGGTGAGCACGGACACGCTGAATACGAGGTGCTGTGCGCCGGCGGCGGCCATTGGGTGCCCGTGGATGCCGGCAACATCCCGCCCAACGCCCTGCCCGCCGGAGAGACCGCCGAGGGAGAGCCGCTCTTCATTGGCCGCGCCACCCACGACGGAACCATCACTGTGGGCAAGGTGCAGCCCTCCCACGGATGCTGCTACATTCCGTACGGCGGCGAGGAGCTGGCCTACAAGGAGTTCGAGATCTACGTGGCCAACTAAACCGCGGATCGAATGTCCAACGCACTGACACACGTTTGTTAATCTGAGCGCTTTACAGTTGAACTGGTCGCAGAAATTTTATTTATATTTGCATTTCTACTCAAAGCTGTTGGAGAATCTCCATTTAATGTCGAAAAGTTTATTACATTGTTCACCGAAATTGGTTAATAAACAATAAATATGTTTAAGAAAATAACATATCAGAAATTGACTGTGATTTGAAATTCCAATATGGGTAGGAAGAGTACATTTGAATTCAAAACGCTTGGAAATAAAAATAGTATAAATCGTACAAGTCCAAAAAAGAGTAACAAAAATATTTTTACGACTTGTTGAATTTGGCTTCTAAAGAATCTACCGACTTTTATTTTTATTCACAGTTCTATCGCAATCATTAATCACCTTTTAATCTATCTGTACTAAATGAGATTATAATCAAACATTATTTTTAATGAAATCATTCATGACACTATCTTAAGAAGAGTCAATGGCTGAAATCCAGATTATTTTAAGCAGCCCATTCAAAATAATTTATTCCCACTCAATGAAAATCTTTTCCTAATCTCATTATCAATGAATCTATAAGCCAGTCATAATCCAAAAATAGCTTAACAAAAAAAGTCAGTTGAAATGTTGGCAGAACAAAGAACAAATTGCTATATAACTATTAGTAAACAAACTTTTTTAATTTATTTTCGTTTCAAACTGTTTGAGACCGATCAATGTATCCTATATAAATTTCAGTTAAGGTCGAGAGCAGGGGTATAATATAGTCGCTAAAGTCTAAAAATCATGTTGATGTCAGTTGAGCATATTGAGTTTTTTGGCCTATAACTAACCTTCTTATGTCCTTGTGAACACCAGGCTCCGGGATTTCTTTAAAAATACTTGTAATGACAGACCCAAAAATACCCATCTGCCAATTTGAAGCCTGTTTTTATTTAAATGGTCTAGTTGATTTGGGGTATTAAAGCTTAGAAACCAGCTTTATGTTAACTTAAAATCTGATCAAAAATATTGAACAATTATACACCCAAATGGAAGTTAGAGCATCACGCTGTAGGCCGAAGTATTCACGTTTCTATTAAGAGCAATATGCTTTTATGAGCTACGTTTGCCGAATATAACAAAAGTGTTAAATGTTGAAGCACCTCTTCAAAGTATTTACTACTTAAGGGACAGTAAACAAAAATGAATCTGTACTTGAGATACAGATACCGGTCCCTAGTATATTATAAATATTAAAATTCCAAGCACGCGACGAAGTCCTAATAAATTTGTCCCACAAGTGGAGTGCAGTAGCCGGCTCACCTGATGAAGATAAGGGCAGTGATAAGATCCGCGAGGAAGTGTATAAATACCTAGATGGAACATGAACCAATCAGCATTTCTTGCAATGGGAAAGTTATTGGCACTACTCGCAGTCCTCTGCCTTAGCCAGGTTATCGGTGCTGAACGTAAGTCCTATCTGGGCGGATTTCCCGTTGGCCTAATAGTTAATCCATCTTTATTCCTGGAATGATCCAGGCATCGTCAACTGCTACTGGGGCACCTGGGCCAACTACCGCAGCGGCAATGGCAAGTTCGATGTGTCCAACATCGATGCTGGTCTGTGCACCCACCTGAGCTACTCCTTCTTCGGAATCAACGACAATGGTGACATCCAGTCCCTGGACACCTGGCTGGATTACGATCTGGGCTTCATCAGTCAGGCGATTAGCCTGAAGCAGCAGAACTCCAACCTGAAGGTCCTGGCCGTGGTCGGCGGCTGGAACGAGGGCTCCACCAAGTACTCCTCGATGGCCCGCGATTGGTACAAGCGCCAGAACTTCATCAACTCCGCCCTGAACCTGCTGCGCAACCATGGCTTCGATGGTCTGGATCTGGACTGGGAGTACCCCAACCAGCGCGGTGGCAACTGGGACGATCGTGCTAACTTTGTCACTCTGCTGCGCGAGATTAAGGAGGCGTGAGTACAGGATCTACGCCCGAAGCCTACTTTAAGTTAATGGTTTGTGTCCTGCAGGTTCGCTCCCTATGGCTATGAGCTGGGTATTGCGGTGGGCGCCGGCGAGTCATTGGCCAGTGCATCCTACGAAATTGCCAACATTGCTCAGCATGTCAACTTCATCAACGTGATGACCTACGACTTTGCCATGGCCTCCGATGGCCAGACCGGTTTCAATGCCCCCCAGTGGGCCGTGGAGAACGCCATCAACTTCTGGCTGAGCCAGGGTGCTCCGGCCAACAAGTTGGTGCTCGGCGTGGGCACTTACGGACATTCCTTCCAGCTGTCGGACTCCTCCCAGAACTGGCCGGGAGCACCGTGCCGCGGAGAAGGCGCCGCTGGATCCTACACTGGCTCTAACGGGTACCTGGGCTACAACGAGATCTGCCTGAACAACTGGCACACCATCTTCGACTACGGAAATGCCGCTCCCTACGCCTACTCCGGTGACCAGTGGGTGAGCTACGACAACGTGCTCAGTGTCCAGTACAAGATGGACTTTGCTCTGTCCAAGGGTCTGGCCGGCGCCATGATCTGGTCCTTGGAAACGGATGACTACCGCGGTCAGTGCGGTGAGACCTATCCGCTGCTCAAGACCATCAACAGGAAGCTGCGTTGGTAATCGGGCACTCCCATTGTTCAGAATAAATGTTTGAAAATTTTAAAAAGACTGGTTTTTGTGACTTTCAAGAGTTTCAAAAGTTATTTCACCAAAACTCTTGGGAAAAAACCATTTCTATCAAGGAAATTCCTAGACTTGTAACAAACGAAATGATTCCTAAAAACTGTAATCAAATTCGAAAAAAAAAAATGTTAATGATAATTATCAATCCTGATCAAATAAATGAGCTTTGTTTGTAGTTCATAGAATACAAGTTTATTTACATAATTTACACTTTGTGAAGTGTCTGAACAAGAAGCTAGCAACAGTTTGAATCACCATCCAGGACGATGATAAAATGTTTCTTCAAGTGGGCCATTCTCCAAATCTCAAGATGCACTTGAAATTCAGGCAATAAATTGAAATTTATATGCATAATGTAAGAATATAGATATAGGTCACTTGTCGTTTCAGTTTCCTCGCTGAGTGCAATATATTATACTTTTATTTTCTATTTCACCGATTTCTTTTGTGAAGTGGCGAATTATCAACGTTGTCGATGTTCCACCGATAAGAAATTTGCTGGGGAGCGGCCTATATAAACGAGGAACCATGATACGAAGCGCTATTGTTATCATTAACCTACGAAGTGCAGGATGAAGTTAGTCTCGATTTGGGCCTTGGTAGCTCTTTGCCTTTGCCTTGGACAAGTGGCCACCAGCGAAAGTGAGTAGTTGACAAAGTTTCCCAGGAATCCGTATCTCATTGGACCCTTATAATCCTGCAGAGCTGCTGAACTGCTACTGGGGCACCTGGGCCAACTACCGTCCCGGAGATGGAAAGTTCACACCCTCTGATATTGACCCCTCCCTGTGCACCCACATCAGCTACACCTTCTTCGGAATCAGCGATGCCGGCGAGTTCAAGTCCCTGGACACCTGGCTGGACATGGACGATGGACTTGGTAAGTTATATTTTCACTTATTTGAATGAAATCGCTAATGAAATCGGTTTTCCCCACAGGTTTTATTAGTCAAACGATTGCGCTGAAGCAGCGCAACCCAAACCTGAAGGTTTTGGCGGTGGTTGGTGGCTGGAATGAAGGTTCCACCAAGTACTCGGCCATGGCCGCCGATCCTGCCAAGCGTGCCACCTTTGTCTCAACTTCCCTGACCTTCATTCAGCAGCACGGCTTTGATGGATTGGATTTGGATTGGGAGTACCCTAGACAGCGAGGAGGCAGTGAAGCGGATCGCGAGAACTTCGTTACTCTGCTGCGCGAGATTAAGGAAACGTGAGTGGTTATGGCGTTGGTTATTCCTTGCAGCGCAATAACATGTATCAATCCCCGACAGCTACGACCAGCATGGATTGGAACTGGGTATTGCCGTCGGTGCCTCAGAGAAATCGGCCAGCATATCATACGACATTCCGGCCATTTCGCAGCACTTGACTTTCATTAACGTTATGACCTACGACTTCCACATGGCTCTGGATGGCTATCTGGGTCTGAACGCTCCTCTGCCCGAGGTCACCGAATCTATTGACTACTGGCTTTCCCATGGTGAGTTAACAAATCTGGGAATCTATTTATTAAGCTAATGAATAATGCCTAGGTGCACCCGCGGAGAAACTTATCTTGGGCATTGGCTTCTATGGCCACAGCTACCAGATGTCCGATAGCTCACAGAACTGGCCCGGAGCTGCGTCCATTGGTCCCGGGTCTGCTGGCATCTACACCCGGGAAAATGGGTTCCTGGGCTACCACGAGATCTGCCTGAACAACTGGCACACCGTTTTCGATCAGGAGAACGGTGCTCCATATGCTTTCCAGGGAGATCAGTGGATCGGCTATGACAATCCCGAAAGCATCCAGATAAAGATGCAGCTGGTCGAGTCCCGCAATCTGGGTGGTGCCATGATGTGGTCCATCGAGACGGATGATTTCCGCGGCCTGTGTGGAGAGTCCTACCCCCTGCTGAAGACCATGAACCGAGCTCTGGGCAAGGAAGTGAGTGGTGGAGGAGGAGGAAGTGTTACTCCCGCTCCAACTGCCGCTCCCACTCCGGCACCCACTCCCGGTGGTGGAAGTGGTGGCAGCGGAGGCGGCTCCAGTGGAGACTGCTCCGCAGATGGTCACTTTCACTCGGTTGGCGACTGCAATAAGTACTACCAGTGCATCGGAGGCATTCGCTACGACTTTCAATGCGGGGAAGGACTGTACTTCAGTACCTCAACCTACACATGTGACTGGCCGCAAAATGTCGACTGTCCCTATTAAATGAATACATAATGAAAATAGACATGACTATTACACAAGAAATCAATTATTTATCAAGTGGCCCTTACAACGAATTGTATATCATTAATTCATATTTATGACTACCGAAATGCCCGATAAGATTTAGATCTTGCAATACTAACATTTACAATGATGAAGTTAGTCACCGTGACTAACTTGAGGGACTTGAGGGAAATTATGAGACACGCCATGAAGCAAGTGCGAATGATTCAATTTCAATATTGAAATAATGATAAAGAACCCAACAACGGTAAGACTTGTTAACAAGAAACCATATTTGTGTAAACACAGGTGACTTAACGTGTTATTGCCATGACAAAGGAATTTGAAAAACGCAATTTATTATCTTAAAAAACCAGAGGTGCATTAAATTGGGGATACAATTACACTTATCCAGTAAGCAGTGCGTTTCCAGTAAACAAATAATCTGTTTTATACTGTTTCATAAATGACACTCCTTGTGATCAAAACACTTATACTTGTCGGAAAACAAATTTAAGCCCAGATTTTGTTTACTAAACCATTCACTTAATCTACGATTAGGAAAATATTATAAAATTTCAAGTTTTAATCGTTAGGTTGACTTTTGCCATGACTTCTTTTCACTATGTTCTAATGGTAATGGTATTGCTGATCTGCGGTTGTCTAGCAAAAGAGTGTAAGTAGATCCTAATACTATTCCTTCGATTCTTTTAACATTCCTGCAGATAATGTCTTTTGTCAATATGATTTGGCCTCCTACTATTACAAAGGACGCAGCCAATTCTTTGAGTGGCACTTGGACTCCAGACTGTGCACCCACTTGGTCCTTGGTTCTGGAATAGGTGTGGACGGGGAGACCGGTCAACTGAGGATCACCGACAAGATTCTGCTACTTGAGAAGAGTAAGTTAAAGGGTTTATTTCATATTTTATTTAATCAATAACTCTTTATAGACAAGCTGAGCAGCGTCAAAACCATGAAGTGGGATAGCATTAGGAAGGTGATGTTTACCATCGGTGGTTGGGAGGAGGATTCCAGCGCGTTCTCCCGGATGGTGGCCTCCCCAAAGAAGCGGGACAATTTCTATACCTCTATGTTGGACTTCATGTCCCAGTGGGGATTCGATGGCGTCCAGATCGATTGGCGCTATCCCACACAGTTCGGTGGTCAGTCGGAGGATCGCCAGAACTTTGTGATCCTGCTAAAGGAGCTGGGATTAATGTGAGTCCTTGCGGGATTTTCTTATCATCTACTAAGTGCTTCCCCTATTCCGATAGCTTTCGACATCACCAGCTCATTTTAATGGTGGCTGTGCTGGGACGAACCAACAAGCGGCACCTGGAAAGCTACAATATCCCCGAGATAGTAAAGAACTCTGACTTTGTCCATCTGATGATGCACGACGAGCGGGATCCGTTTCGTCAGCGCTTGACTTACAATGCTCCACTTCGTGGAAATGAAGACAGCGCGACTAAGTCCATTGGGCATTGGAAACGAAATGGAAAAGCCCCAGAGAAGCTGATCTTGGGCATCCCGCTCTTCGTGCGCTCCTACACCATGGATAGGAATCAATCGGCAGTGGGATCCCCCTGCAAAGGACCTGGCAGACCGACTAAGCAAACTCACCGTTCCGGCTTCATGACCTACAACGAGTGGTGCGTGCAGCAGTCCAAATGGAACAGGAAGTTTGACCAGGTGGCCAAGGTGCCCTATGCCACACTGGGTGATCAGTGGGTGAGCTACGAGAACCCGCAAAGCATCTGGGCCAAGATGCACCTGTTGGAGAAGCACAAGCTGGGTGGCGCCATGGCCTGGACCATAGACGTAGACGATTTCCGTGGCACTTGTGGCGAGAGTCATGGATTGCTTCGTGTGATCTTCTCCGCCTTGGGCGACAAGAACGCCCTCACAACAGAGAAGCCGACCACAGAAGCCATCGGAATGTGCCCCCATGATGGGTTCATGCGCAATGGTTGGGATTGCCGATTGTACCATGAGTGCCGCGATGGGGAGAGGATCTACTATGAGTGCCTCGAGGGTCAGTACTTCGACGAGAAACAGGTCATGTGTCGACCAGCCGCTGAGGTCAAGTGTGATCAGAACTTTGTCATTTGGCGACCGGGCATGCCCGTGTACAACTTCAAAAACATGCCACTAAACCTTAAGATCGTTGACTAGGTGCCTCAAAATACCGAAACTCAGAGACTTTGTTTTGGACAAATAAAATCTAGCACTTTACTGATCCAGAATAGTTGCAGCTGTTGGTGTCAAGGTCAAACTTCAGCCCAATAGGACAATCAAAGTTGTGGGTCTTGCCGCCACTGCAATAGTAGAACTTGGCGCAGTTGTCTGGATCCCGAACATATCCTTCGGGCGCATCAGCTGGACAACTGAATCCTTCACTGATCGTGTTCTTGTTCGATTCGGTGGTCAAACCAGATGGCGTGTTGCCGCCGAAGAGCACTTGATTGATTTCGTGCAGCAGGGGATAGGGCTGCTGACCACATGTGCCGCGGAAGTCGTCCGATTCCAGGGACCATATCATTATGCCACCCAGGTGGTGATCCATCACATACTGCGCCTTGAGCGCCAAGCTGCGTGGATTTTCGTACCCCACCCACTGGCGCTGCTTGAAGGCGTAAGGCACCTGCTGTGTGACCTCCCATTTCTGTGTCCACTCCTCCTGTCCCATCATCTCGCAGAGTTCGTTGTAACCCAGGACACCCGGTTCGCGGGAGTATTTTCCTGCAATGCCCTTGCCGATATGCGGCGCTCCTGGCTGGTTGCCCTCGGCGGTGGCTAAAGTAAAGGAGCGTCCGTAGAAAGGAACTCCTAGGACCAGCTTCTCAGCCGGAGCACCTGATAGCAGCCAATACTTGACCACGGCGTCCACGTTCAGCTGCTGTTGCCGCCCGGTAGAATCACTCGCATCACTTTCAGCAGCATACAGAGGAGCATTGATGCCCACCACCTTGTCCCACGGTCCGTGGAGGTCGTAGGCCATCACATTAATGAGGTCCAGATACGGGACAATAGCCGGAATGTCGTACGATATTTCAGCGGAGAATTGTGCGGAGCCCACAGCAGCACTGAGCAGAAAACCAAAGGGTTCCAAGCTGAGAAGGGTTGCAGGGTTAGAAAAGAGCAGCTCATACAATTCCTTCTTATCTTACCCCTCTTTCAGCTCCCTCAAGAAAGTAATATAGTTTGAGCGATCGTCGTTATCCAGACTGTGACGCTGGCTAGGATACTCCCAATCCAGATCCAGGCCATCGAAACCATGGCGCTGCAGCAACCTGACCACATCATCCACGAACTTGGCACGCTTCAAGGGATCGCGGGCCACTAAGGAGAATCTCTTGGAACCCTCGTTCCAACCACCCACGGCCACGAGCGTCTTCAATACTGGATTCTTTAGCTTGAGGGCATTAAAGCTCTTGATATTTCCGCGCCCACCATTCTCTTCAAGATCCAGATAAGCGTCTATCACCCGAAGCTGGCCCGTCTCCTCGATGCCCAGGAAGGCGTAAATAAGATGGGTGCACAAGAACGGATCAATATCCTCCACGCCGAACTTGCCCAGACCAGGTCGATAAACGGACCACGTGCCCTGGTAGCAGACAACGTTCTCTGCAAGAGGATTTCACTGATAATCCGGGATACCATACTCCGCTATTCGTGATACTTACTTGAAGAGTTGCCTTGTGCAGATGATGCTGCTGCCATCAGGATTGCCCCGAGGAGCAGCTTAACTAAACCAGATCCGCTCCACATTTCTTGACCACTAAATGAATACTTCCCGCAACTCCATGACTTTTATACACCTGAACTTTATGATAAGACGGTGCAATAAATGTATTTGCAGTTCGCTTTTAGTAAAAATAAAAAAAGACATGGTGTTTGCACACTTGTTGCTCAGGAGAGCATCGCAAACAACATGGGCCACTTTGAGGGTTGGTTGGGCCTCAAGAATCAACAATAACACCCCGGGCTATAGGTTCTAGAACTTCTTTAGCTTGGACAGCTGATTGTTGCGCCGCAAGGCCAGTTTCCTCAAGCGGCGCCAGTACTGCTTGGTGTTGGGGTCCAGTTCGTCCAGAGGAATGATGCGTTCCGTGTTCAGCGTCCACAGCCATTCGGGGTACTCCGCATCCGGTTTGATCTGTTCAGCAATTCCATACAAAAGAGCGCACTAGGAAAATAAAAAGTGAAACTCACCTTGACATCTTCTCCTGTTTTCAGGTAGTTACTACCGCACACATAGTTCACCAGCTTGTTGGCATCGGTCTCCACGGGAAGGACCTTCTTCTCCACGATGGGCCCCAGCTTGCCAAGCTTCTTTTTCTTGCTCGCTGTGGGATGTGTTTACCATTAGTAGTTAACTTTTTAACCTGGATGCGGAGACTCACCTGCCGGCGCAGGTTTTGCGGCATAGAAACGTGCCCAGTTTCCTATCGCTGGGGCTATCAATCGCTGCCTTGCCATTTGGAAAACGGTCGTAAAGCTGGTCATGTCTTATGTTTTATTTAATCTGTTTTCGGCAAATGTTAATTTACAGATAGATATTTAGTAAACCATCCGTTTTGTTGTATAATCTAAAAACTGTAAGTGTGTCGTTGCAGCCCTGGTTATAAAGTCAGCTGATTTTTCAAAACAAATAACTATCGAAGTTGTTCTTTAATTAAGAGGCAGCATTTTATCAGTCTTTTTATGATATGAATTTATTATCACTAAAACAACATAATAATAGACGACTTTGTTATATTTTCTGTCAACAATTTGCATAGCAATACAACTAGAGGTGGACTTGATTGTTTATATGCCTTTTCACTTAACAATATCGACTAACTGCCATCTCTAATTCGGCGCCGGCTATAACGAATATTACACAAGTAACCGCAGCTAAATTGTAAATAAAAAGGCGTTAGCAAAATGGTTGGACTGAAATTTCCGTCGAACCGAACATTGGGCACCATTTGTGTCTACGGTGCCGTGGCCTCCATATCCGCAGTAATGTACATGAAGTGGAAGATGGAGGATCGGGTGAAATCTGCAGAGTACTACAAACTGGCGTTGAAGGCACTGCGGAGCCATCGAGGAGCAGTTGGCCTCCTGGGAGAGCCCATCAAGGACTCGGGCATTGATCTGTCAAACGCGAACAACAATTGCAATGCGGAGGAGGCAAATTGCGAGGTGCCTGTGCGGGGCAGCAAGGATAAAGGTATGTAGCTCCATAGCTTTTTAAAGATCGTTGGCGTCATCAGCCTTTTATTTGCAGGCACTTTATTTTTTTGGGCCTCTAATCAGCCGGATAGAGGCTGGCTGATCGACCGACTGGAGCTGGAAACAAAACTCAACCCGGATAAACGTTTTTTGCTCAAAAAATCTGAGGAACTAACTTTTGATCTGCCCGAGAGCATAAGCAAACTTCCTGCCCAGCAGGTTGATTCCAATGTTATTCTATCCGAATCGGATCAGCAACCAGAAACACATTCAAAGTGACGACAATGTCCGATTCAATTAGTTTATTCTCTTTAAATTTGACTAATTCAAGCAATCTTAAATGTTTTATAGTTATGTTATTTTAATTACAAATTTATTGTTTTTATAAAATCAAAGTCTTTAGTTATTGTTTGTCAATGGAGAGCTGGCAAAAATGATCAGTGGTTTAGCATAGTTAATATTAATGCTCATACTGGTGGTTGGTTGGTGAACAATCGGGAAAGCGAAAAACTTGAATGAGTGCTCCTAATGATACCACTTAAAATAGTCGAGAGTCGGCTGGTTGGTCTTCCGGACAAAGAATTGACTGGCTCATCTTGAGCGCAGATCTCGAGCTTGATTCGTTTAAAATTAGAATAATACATAGGTCAGAGGACATGATAAAATCCGCGTTTAATGCTCTTCTTAAACGATAAAGGCGACAATTGGTGGCGATCGTGAAGCAGACGAGGCGGCAGTGTACGTGTTCACCGTCAGGCTAAAGTCATCCAAATCCTTGCAATCCAATCGTCTCCGATCGTAAACAATATAAGTAGTAATGTATACGCACTTTCGTCGTTGTATAACACAGTATAAATACAGGCCGTATATATATAAGTAGGTATATGTTCGTATGTATATAGCCAATTACAGACATTTGTTTTTGGCAGGCACCCGCACCTGCCCGCCGTCGTATTCCTGCTACTTCGTTTTGGATGCTGTGGTGTTAATGCTGGCGATCGGTTCCTATGCTCGCTTGGCCATGGCAAGTGGAAGACTGTTGGGCCGCTTTGTCGACTGTGTCCGCTCCTCTTCCGCTTGCACCTCGTGGTCTTATTGCGTCTTCAGTTCCTTGCCAATGCTGTACGAGACGATTTTGCTCCAGTCGATCTTGGTCCTGGTGATAGGCAACTGGCGACGCATAGCCTTGAAAGTCGTGTCCGACATCGTCTGGTAGTTCTCGGAAATGGCCAGCTGGTACTCGTTCTCGGCGTCCTCGATTAGGCGGATCACCTCCTTGGCCACCTGCTGCTCGTTGCTGACCACCACGCTCTCGCGGCACTCCTTCGAGGACACCAGCTGCACGTTGCCGTCCTCATAGTAGTGCACCTGCACTTTGAGCACACCCTTTAGCTCGGCGGATCCGCTGCCCGCCTGGAAGGTGACGTGCCACTGGGAGCGCCATCGGCCATTCCAGTAGTTCTTCGGCTGGAACTGATGGTCCTCGATGCAAATGGTCAGGGTGATCTGGTTTCCCTGCGCCTTCCCGAAGACAGAGCTGACCTGTAAAGATAATTATCCGGGTTATTGTAAGCAAAAGAGTATCCACTCTTAACTTACCCCGTGTCTATAATGACTGGCAGTGTAGGCGAGCGTCTCCAGGTCGAGGGCAGCCCTCCAGGGCTCCGCAGTGCCATCTGCCTCCACGTCCTGGTAGTCGGAAGCTTCTTTCCGGAGGTGGTCGTATTTGAATGCTTGCTTTGTGCGCGGGTCGTAGAAGCGACCGTTTCCTGGAATGCAATGGCTTATCAGTGGGGGGCTCAAGATATCGACCGAAACCCAAACAATGTGTGTAGGTGACTCATGGTGGGCTTTGTCCATTTAAGGGCATTGATGGAACTAAACTCACCCAGATCGTTGTGTTCCGATATGATGGCGTTATGATCGGTGCCCTCGATGCGAACCGGAGTCAGCTGGTCCTTGTTGTATTGGGCGAAGGCGTGGCTAGCCCCATCCTTCAGCAGAGTGTCATTTTTAAGGAGCTCCCGCACATCGTTAAACACTTCGTTGAACTCGCCGGGCGGCGCATGTAGGATGAAGTCCGATACGATGCGCACCTTCTCCGCATCGGTGATCGGGGTCTGCTCCATAGTTCCACTGGTGATTCACGAAATCGGGGCTGGGCGGTTGTTTGGTTTGGTCTGGTTTCCCCTCCGGTTTCTTGGGCTGTACCTCTCCACGTGATCTTCGCTTGGAGTGTTTGGAAGTTGCGGTGTCGCTGGAACTCTTCCTTGACCGTTTTTTCGGCACTGCAATCTTTTTTCTCCGCAATTAATGGGCCAAGACGATGACGATTCGATTCACTTTTTTTTCTCGCTCTTTGCTAGGGATGGGAAATATTTGTGTACCTGTACCAGATGCGATTCACTGTATTTTACGGCTTGTCTCCACTACTTTATAGTCCGACGGGTGAATGGCAAAAGTTATGGCGGGATACTTGAATTGCATGTACAAACATTTTCAACGAGGTAGAATGTAATAAATACATCATAATTTGTTCAAAACCAATATAAATCTGACCCGTAATAAAGCAAATGATATTGTACTTGTTCGACATGTTATAACGATCTTTAACAGTAAATAACGTTTATTAATATTTACAACTAGTGCTGTTAATAAAAAGCTATTTAGTTTTGCAAGTAACAAATTGTAACTCATGTAGAGATTGTCAGTATATTTATTCACTTAGTGGCTTCCTCCACGCAGTTCAGTGTGAATAATTCATCAACTGAATTTTGAAAAAGTGTGGATAGGTTATAGTATCGATTAAACAGGAGATTCGAGGAAGTTAATCGATATTTATCGATAACCCAATAATCGATGGTGTGTCACATCTCCAACGCCGCTCGATGTTGTTGCATTGTGTTTTTGCTTTTGAATTGGGCGGTTGTCTCGCGCGTCGATCGCAGTTTCAAAATCGGTGTGCCTTCGCAGTTTCGTTGCAAGCCGACAATAAAGGCGATCAAAGTGAAGGAAAATACGTTTTGCGATCTTTTTATTTAAAATAATTCGCCAAAGTGTACAAGTTCACAACGATATACCATCGAGAAGTGCCTTTTTACCAAAAGTCGTTGGTAACACACGTACCAACGCGGCGGACCGAACCACACGCACACAAATGCGCGCGCTTGGCAGTGTGCGTGTAACTACTTTTTTACCTGGTCTTACCTGTTTGCGGAGCGAAAGAGAGAGGGCAACAGATACGGAGAAAGAGAGTGCCAAAGGGGACGAGTGAAAGATAAAAGTGAACGAAATATCAGGCAGAGCAGCTGCACCGAAATCGGAATCAGTCAGTTTACAATCAGGGCGCGCACTGTACGAATTCGATTGATAATTATTGAGCGGTTGCCATGAAAATGCAGTCCAAACAAACGGAACACTGAGAGAAACGCAACAAGAAGAAGAGTGCAAATAGAATAGAATAGAAAAGAAGTGGAAGTAGAAGTAGATGTGGGCAACACAAACAAAAGTAAAAGGTGTGTGTGAGTGAAATAATACTGGGTGATTTACAAAGAAGTGCTCAAAAGTGTTGCGGTTGAAACAAAGAGAGTCTGCGATGGCGGATCGCCGCTAGAGAGTATGTCCACCAGTGTCCAGCGAATGTCCAGAAGCCACCACTGCATCAACATGACGCCGACCCAGCAGGCCGGCCACCTAAATCCCGCCCAGCAACAGACGCACCAGCAGCACAAGCGAAAATGTCGCGACCTCGGCAGGCGACTAATCCCCGCGAGACTCCTCCTGGGCGTCCTTGTGGCCATCAGCCTTCTGTCACCCGCCCTCGCACTGCACTCGTTGCTGGACAAGAACTTCTCCGGCGACAATCGCAAGCCCGCCTTCAAGAACTGCGCCGGATACGCTCCAAAAGTTAAGGAGGAGCAGCCGGAGAACACCTACGTGCTCACCGTCGAGGCCGTCGACCCCGATCCCGACCAGGTCATTCGTTACAGCCTCGTCCAGTCGCCGTTCGAGCGGCCCAAGTTCTTCATTAATCCCAGCACGGGCGTCATCTTCACCACGCACACCTTCGATCGCGACGAGCCGATCCACGAGAAGTTCGTCTTCGTCACCGTCCAGGCCACGGATAATGGTCTGCCCCCCCTGGACGACGTTTGCACCTTCAACGTTACCATCGAGGACATCAACGACAATGCACCCGCCTTCAACAAGGCGCGCTATGACGAGTCCATGTCGGAAAATGCCCAGGTGAGTTTCCTGGCCCACTGAGTCAAAGTCTGCCCACTCTATTCACCACCGCTTGCCAAACTCGCGGACCCCGGATTACTGCGGTTTGGCCAAGCTGGTGAATCAGCACTAGAGTGATGCCATTCTTTCTGTCGTACCCCTCATGTACCTAACTTAATTGTTACTAAAACTCGATTTATAGTTTTTTTTTCACTGGAGTGTATTAGAAATGTCTTTCAACCAAAAACCCATTAACATTAATTTACATTTTTTTTGTTAAATGCAAGTATATTATCAGTTAGCTAATAGAAAAGTTGGATTTATGTTGCACATCCTGTAATAGTTATCAAGGAGACCCTAAAGAAATAGAAAATGGCATCAATGTGCGCTACTAGGCTGTTTGTTATTGAAGTTTTAAATTTTTCTGACCACTGAAATTTGTGGATCAATGGCACCACAAGATTTGCCCCTCGCCCACCTGGTCATCCCAACAGACTGAAACACCCACTGTCCCACGTCCTACAGTGTTAATTAAACACTTGGCCAGTTCATGGGCGAACATCTTCTTGGGCGGAACTAGTTTTCGCTTGGCGTAGGAGGGCGACCACTTGGAGACGGGTTTTGGGTTCATTGCTCGCCCGGTTCGATACTGAAAACCTTGAAACCCTTTCCAACGCCTTTTCTTTTACGCCATTTCCATGTTTGCGACCAGAAAAACTTGTACCACAAACAGTGGTAGAAAACTAAGTTTAGCTAAGTACTTGTGTTAGCGTGCAGTAGTTTTACCAAGACAATAACTTTGTACCGAAAGAGAGATATAAATATTTTAGGTAATTCATTTGTTTAGTTTAGTTTTCGCAGATTAAATATAGTATTTATACATTTTCATAAATAATATGGATTTGACTGTATTCGGCATCGGAAAGTCTTTTTCTACGTAGTTAACGGATTGTACTGCAGATAGTTATCTGGCTTATATGTACAAGTATGTGTTATTTTCCTCGATTTCCTCTTCATATCCACAACAAACGCTGTTATATTTAGCAAAGCTTTGTCAGCAGAGAAATTTCTGCGAAAAGGTTTCAGTTCTAATTAGGCCCTTGCCCAGGTAGCATTCAGAAAAAGGAGGTTAAGGAAACTAGAGCGGGGTCATGTGCTTGCTGCTGGTTTGGGCAAACTTGCAGGAAAGTTGTGTTAACGGAAGGAAACCAGAAACCTCCAAGTATCTGTGGCTTTATCTTTACCTTTTATTTGCAGCCCGACGCGGTGGTGATGACTATCAGCGCCAGTGACTTCGACGATGGTAACAACAGTCTGGTCGAGTACGAGATTCTGCGGGAGCGCGACTTCCAGTACTTCAAGATTGACAAGGAGTCGGGCATTATCTACCTGAAACGATCGATTGACAAGCGACCCGGCCAATCGTACGCGATAATTGTGCGGGCATATAACGTAGTTCCAGATCCGCCGCAGGATGCGCAGATCGAAGTTCGCATCCGGGTGGTGGAGTCCTCAATTAAGCCGCCATCATTCGTAAATCCCATCGATACACCCATTTACCTGAAGGAGAATCTTAAGAACTTTACACATCCGATCGCCACATTACGAGCAGTTTCCAATATGCCGGACAAGCCGGAGGTCATCTTCGAATTGAACACCGGTCGCACAGAGCAGACAAACAGCAAGAACACATTCGTGTTCAATCAGATCGGCAATGAGGTGACCATTAGCCTGGGCAAGACCCTGGACTACGAGGCCATCACGGACTACACCCTCACCATGATTGTGCGAAATACACACGAACTGGGCACAGAACATCAGATCAAGATTCAGGTGGAGGATGTCAACGATAATATCCCCTACTACACTGAGGTTAAATCGGGCACTATCCTGGAGAACGAGCCACCCGGCACGCCAGTTATGCAGGTGCGTGCCTTCGACATGGACGGCACCTCGGCCAATAATATTGTGTCCTTTGAGCTGGCCGACAATCGGGAGTACTTCACCATCGACCCTAATACGGGCAACATTACCGCCCTGACCACATTCGATCGCGAGGAGCGCGATTTCTACAACGTAAAGGTTATTGCCAGCGACAATTCGCCATCGAGTCTGTTTGACAATGGCGAGCCGAACCGTGGCCACCAAGTATTCCGCATCTCCATTGGTGACAAGAACGACCACAAGCCGCACTTCCAGCAGGACAAATATCTGGCGGAAAGGCTGCTCGAGGATGCCAATACCAATACCGAAGTAATTGAGGTAAAGGCCGAGGACGAGGACAACGCATCTCAGATCCTGTACAGCATTGAAAGTGGTAACGTGGGTGATGCCTTCAAGATCGGCCTCAAGACTGGCAAAATCACGGTCAACCAGAAGTTGGACTACGAAACAATCACGGAGTACGAGCTGAAGGTGCGTGCCTTTGATGGAATCTACGACGACTACACCACGGTGGTTATCAAAATTGAAGACGTGAACGACAACCCACCGGTTTTCAAGAAGGACTACAGCGTCACTATCCTGGAGGAGACCACATACGACGACTGCATCCTCACGGTCGAAGCCTACGATCCGGACATCAAGGATCGCAACGCAGATCAGCATATCGTCTATTCGATTCACCAGAACGATGGAAATCGGTGGACCATTGACAACAGTGGCTGCCTGCGTTTGGTCAAGACGCTGGACCGCGATCCGCCCAATGGTCACAAGAACTGGCAGGTTCTGATCAAGGCCAATGATGAGGATGGAGTAGGAACCACGGTCAGCACAGTGAAAGAGGTCACTGTCACGTTGAAGGACATAAACGACAACGCTCCCTTCCTGATCAACGAAATGCCTGTCTACTGGACGGAGAACCGCAATCCCGGCCATGTTGTGCAGCTACAGGCCAACGACTACGACGATACTCCGGGGGCAGGTAACTTCACCTTCGGCATCGACAGCGAAGCCACACCGGACATCAAGACCAAGTTCAGCATGGATGGCGACTATTTGCACGCCAACGTCCAGTTCGATCGGGAGGCCCAAAAGGAGTACTTCATCCCCATCCGCATAAGTGATTCTGGCGTTCCGCGACAGAGTGCCGTGAGCATTCTGCACTTGGTAATCGGCGATGTTAACGACAATGCCATGAGCGAGGGATCGTCGCGCATCTTCATTTACAATTACAAGGGAGAAGCGCCGGAAACCGATATTGGTCGCGTGTTCGTAGATGACCTGGATGACTGGGATTTGGATGACAAGTACTTTGAATGGAAGGATCTTCCGCACGATCAGTTCAGGCTTAATCCAAGCACAGGAATGATCACCATGCTGGTTCACACCGCCGAGGGAGAGTACGACCTGTCGTTCGTAGTGACCGAGGATTCCATGTTCGTGCCCCGTCACTCCGTAGATGCTTATGTCACCGTGGTGGTCCGAGAGCTCCCCGAGGAGGCGGTGGACAAGAGCGGCAGCATCCGATTCATCAACGTAACCAAGGAGGAGTTTATCAGTGTGCCGCGCGACTTCCAGTCACCAGATGCCCTTTCCCTAAAGGATCGGCTGCAGCTCTCGCTGTCCAAGCTTTTTAATACGTCGGTATCCAACGTGGACGTGTTCACTGTGCTCCAAAACGAGAATCATACGCTCGATGTGCGCTTCTCCGCCCACGGCTCACCCTACTATGCTCCGGAGAAACTAAATGGAATAGTGGCCCAAAATCAGCAGCATTTGGAGAACGAACTAGATCTGCAGATGCTGATGGTGAACATTGACGAGTGTCTGATTGAGAAGTTCAAGTGCGAGGAATCCTGCACCAATGAGCTGCACAAGAGCTCGGTGCCTTACATGATATACTCGAATACAACATCGTTTGTGGGCGTGAATGCCTTCGTTCAAGCGCAATGCGTTTGCGAGGCTCCATTAATGAGGCGCTGTCTGAACGGAGGATCTCCGCGGTACGGGGAGAACGACGTGTGTGACTGCATAGACGGATTCACCGGACCCCACTGCGAACTCGTCTCCGTGGCATTCTACGGCTCTGGATATGCATTCTACGAACCAATTGCCGCCTGCAACAACACCAAGATTAGCCTGGAGATCACGCCCCAGATCGACCAGGGCCTGATCATGTACTTGGGACCACTAAACTTCAATCCGCTGCTGGCCATCTCTGATTTCCTAGCTTTGGAGTTGGACAATGGCTATCCGGTGCTGACTGTGGACTACGGATCGGGTGCCATCCGCATCCGCCATCAGCACATCAAGATGGTGGCTGATCGCACCTACCAACTGGACATTATCCTGCAGCGTACCAGTATTGAGATGACTGTGGACAATTGCCGGCTGTCCACCTGCCAGACACTAGGCGCCCCCATCGGCCCCAATGAGTTCCTCAATGTGAACGCACCGCTGCAGTTGGGCGGCACTCCGGTGGACCTGGAGCAACTGGGACGGCAGCTCAATTGGACGCACGTACCAAACCAGAAGGGCTTCTTCGGATGCATTCGCAACCTGACGATTAACGAGCAGACTTACAACTTGGGAATGCCCTCCGTGTTCCGAAACATCGACAGCGGCTGCCAGCAGTCCGTGGCCGTGGCGTTCAGTTTTGGAATAGATAGAAACTTCATCATCGCGATCATCGTATGTCTCGCGCTGCTGCTGATCATCCTGTTGGCAGTGGTGGTGCAGAAGAAGCAGAAGAACGGCTGGCACGAGAAGGACATCGACGACATCCGCGAGACGATCATCAACTACGAGGACGAGGGTGGCGGCGAGAGGGATACGGACTATGACCTGAATGTTCTGCGCACCCAGCCCTTCTACGAGGAGAAGCTATACAAAGATCCTCATGCGTTACAGGGGAACATGCGCGACCCCAACGACATACCCGACATCGCCGACTTCCTGGGCGACAAGAAGGAGAACTGCGACCGGGATGTGGGCGCCACAACCGTGGACGATGTGCGGCACTACGCGTACGAGGGTGACGGCAACTCCGATGGCAGCCTGTCCAGTCTGGCGTCCTGCACCGATGACGGCGATCTCAACTTCGACTACCTGTCCAACTTTGGACCGCGCTTCCGTAAACTGGCCGACATGTACGGCGAGGAGCCCTCAGACACCGACTCCAACGTGGACGACGACCAGGGCTGGCGCATCTAGGAATCTTCGCCAGCCGCGGTATGATGACGTAGAAATGCAAAAGACTTTTTATATACTAAGAGTTGTACGGATGTTGAAAGTGTCGGGACAAGGCGTCGGCCTAGCCGGCGCCAAAGTCGATTCAGAGATATGTATATACCCACGTATATGGGTAACTATATATTATATATATATATATATATTTTTATGGAGGAATATTGCAAGGGCCCTGGGGAAGACGTTTTTGTTTTTTGTTGTGTAAATGCAAAAAGTGATCTTGATCTTACGTAAACAAACTATTTAAGCTAAAGCAAACACTAATGTAGCCAAGCAACTGCGAACAAATCACAAATTTCTGCAGAACTGCTAATCCTTCGATTCCACACATTTAGGGAAATTCAAATGGGTTAGCAATGCACTCGAAATATAAATTAAAATGTCTAGAAAACGAAATATTCCTAGAAGCGAATCCGAAATCGGTATGCATTTCTCGTTGCATAAGACTTCAAAATACCAACACTAGTTATTAGCTTATTTTATAGCCTACATATGTTAGTTAAAAATGCATTACAAAACTTAGTATGAGGAATCATATCGCATTAGGGCCCCAACAAGACAGATCTTTAATTAGCATTCGTTGAAACTTCCGAACTAAAAGAAATGAACACAAAATCAAAGGGGAAATTCATTAGATAAGACAAGTCGGTATTTCTAAGCTAACTCTTCGATCTTAATTTATCTAGAGCCGTAAACCCTATCAATATCAGTATAAGTTCTTAGGGTTGTCTTCTAGTACATGTATAAATCAGTTTAACCTAATTTTTATCGAATTGAGGGAGACCCAACTCTTCCTATGTAATTGCGAACGAAACACGTGTGCATCTATATCCATGTTATATTAGAGGGGATATAATATATATATAAATATAGAGACATATATGTAAGTGAAAATGTTCAATAAATAAATGCGATATGTATTTTTGTAAGTCTTTTCCCATAGACACTAAGACTCAATTAAGCCGCAGGGCACATTTTTTACATGCCAAGGCAAACCAATCATAGAAAAGTTGAGATACTTTATTTATATATAGTACATATTGATTAAGTGTGTAATTTACAACAAACGAAAGAGCCACACAAACACACAACAATTGTGTTAAAATAAAAAATATAATAAAATCGAATACATTTCGCTCTGTGTTGATCACTTAAGTTCGAGATAAGCGTTTAAGGAAGTCAGTCGCTATGTTCGATTGGAGGTGACAGCCAGCGAGCCCCGTTCCCTGGATTTTATTAGAAGTAATGAAAATGTACACAAGTGCTCGAGTAAGCTATGTTTGCTTAGCGCTAGACGAACTTACATATACTGGGGGTATATAGCCACTTATATATAAATGGTAAGTCATTGACTGAGGCGGCGGCGAGCGCCACTGCGAAGTGTAACCGGAGGAAAAGCGTCATTATCTTATCAGCGGAAAGTAGGTTACGCTTGCCTTTGGATTCATTCGGCTTGAACAAAATCGATTGCGGCACAAGTCAATGAACAAAATTGGAGCGGTTCAATTTGTAAATGGCGGGCGAGTGGACGAGAAAATGTGTATTCATTGCAGCAGGTGCAGTTTGGTTCCCCGCAGCTGCAATTGTATCTATGTGTGGATCGCTGCAGCAGAACACTTCATTAAGATTTGCATGGCTGATATGTCAAGGCGTCCGAGGATATCTGTTAGATGCGACTTTGGGCCAGATGAATGTGTTGCAGCTGCTGTCTGGATGTCCTTTCAAGCTGAAGATTAATGGTATGTCTAGTTGGGTGTGCTTGTCTGTGGTGCAGGCAAAATAAATCAAAACTTCTTTGTATGTTTTTGAGCCCAGCAGTGTTTTATTCCAGGAAAATTCGATTTCAATTGACTCTTCAAACATATCAACATTTTGAAAGCCACCGAAGTCAAAAGAAACTTGAAGTGCCTTTCGCTTCAAGAGATGCGAAGGGATCGACATGTATAGATGTCGAGGGTCCATCAAATATTCAAATTTCAAATCAATTAAATACCTCAAGTATCGAAGTATGAAGCACTTTGGAGAAACAAAAAGCATGCATTTCTCGGTATCAAATTGTTCCCATTGCGGAAATGCCCGCCTGAAAAAATGAAATCGATCGGACGACGACAGATGTCTTTTCAATTTTCGTCTTAAGCCTGAAGTTCCAGCTGAAAAAAAGAGCAGCAAAAATTTGTGCCGGACATGCCGACGTGAGGTTTCACCGGCAACATGTGGCTCTGGGACGAGGCCCAAAGATGCAGAGGAAGCGCAGAGAACAGGCGAAAATCGGCAAGTAAAATGGTTGAGTAATCAAATAACCTCTTCTGGCTACCTGCGCAGCTGCAGCTGCCAACGCACTCCTCAGGTGTGTATGGGCCCGATTCTTTGGCATGGCATGGTATGGGTTATTGTGTTGTGTTGTGTATGGCCCCTGGGATGTTTGGCCAGTGGATTAACATAGCGGGGAGAAGGCATCGACAAAATCCCGGGAAGGTGGAGTGGTCGGAAGAACCCAAGCCAAGGCAAGATGAGAGAGCAAAGACTTGTCTACCTGGGCTCACCTCACCACACTCACACGCAGATACCAATGTTCCCGCGTTCAGATACAGATACAGGTACTGAGATAACTCACCTTGACGCCAACGCCAGCCGCACCGAGATACACAGATACTCACCCATACCTGGGCAGACTTTAACGGAAAAATGAAAGCAAATCTTCGTTACGAACTTGGCTTGAGGAAAAACCAGTATTTCTGAAACGGCTCCGATCGAGGTGTGTATCTGTTGGATTCAAGTCTCTCCCAGGGCTTCTCTTTCGCTGCTCGGGTCGAGGAGTCTCTCTTTGAGTTCAAGTTCCATTTCCCAGTCTTCAAACTTCTTCGCAACCCAACTCGAACTCCTTAACGCAAGATGGTTCTTCAGGTACAGAATTGTCCACTGACCCAGAGGCTTTTGCCTCTTGCTAAATGCTTTTTATTAAACTAAACTAAAATGCTTATAATAAACTGAGATCTAAATTATCTTTATTATGCATATTCGGATTTCCTAATGGGAAACTTAGCCATGAAGTCAAGCGTTTACATTTTCGCAGCAGATCTTTGAGTCTTCTTAGTCGAGATTATCGAACTTAATCCACTCAGCTCGAAATCTACTCAACTCAACACAACTCTTTCTGTCACGCACGAAGCGAACAACTCCCTCGTCTTTCTGCAGAAACAGAGACAGAAAAAGATACATATACTAGGACAGCCACAGATGGATACGTATTGATGGGGCACGTCTTGGCGTTTTACTACCTGTTGATGGGGAAGATGCTGCTGCCAAGGTCTCGCTTTGATTAATTATGGTGGAACGGAGTGGAGTGGAGTGAAGTGAGGGGCGACGAGCGGAATGTCCACGGATGAACAGTCGAATGCAAGGCTGCCAAGATGCCTATTAACACTAGCTGGCTATTCATCACAGTTTCAATTACCAGACTGCCCAGACAGACGGACTCCATTGATTTGAATTATTAAAGAGGGCATCGCTACCAACACCGATATTATGCCCAGTTCATTACACCCTGGAAGTGAGTGTATGTCGGCAGGGTAATCGTCGTTTCGAAGTTCCTAGTTCTTATCCCAGAGTGGGTTCGTGTTTCACTGTTCTAAAAGTATTTGACTGGCCCAATATGTTTTTCTCATTGTCTGCGCAGCTTGTCATGACAAACATATCCAACTCAATATTTATTGAGTTTGAAAGGAGACTCCATTTGAAGATTTCTCTATCGTTTCCCTAGAGCCTGCTTAATGCAAATGCCATTTGAGTCTTTAGACTAAAGATAACTATAGCATATCTTCTCCCGTTTCCCACTTCTGACACTTGCTGTTTGCAAATTTGTCTGGATTCCAGGTTATCTGTAATTTTTTGCAAATTAATTCCTCCCTCATCCGCCGGCAATTATACCGCAGTGAACCCCAGTGGCTTAGCTGTTTGACCATCGCCAGTAGAAGAGGTTTCCCTGGCGGTTCTCCTCCAATGAGCAGGCATTGCCAGAAGTCATGGGAAAATGGATCTGGGCGGAATATGCACTTATGCACTTACATGATATATGGCGACCGCAAGCGGCTCCCCTTGGCCATCTTATCACCAAGACGCCTTGTACGGCACTAATAACTCTATGAAGTCGGTACGTGGCTTCTGTGCTAAAACGCTTATTAGTTGGCCACCGATTCCAGCGATTCCTTCAGTCCACTCAGAATCGGAATGCATAGTAATGAGACTGCCGCTCATAAAGGGAAATTTCGAAAAGAAGACGATAAAATGCTGACCATTTGGACGTGCCCGTTGGCCGACGATTCTTTCCGATCATCGATGCCCGGCACGTACTTGCAGCCTGATTTGTGGCGATCAGCAGGGATCGGCAACACACTCGTGGCAGAAATAACAGGGCCGGGATTAGAGGAAGACATAACCACCGAAAAGCGATTCTCGGAATGCAGAGAAAATAACAAACAAGGTGTGCAAATTTGCACTCTACCACAGACTCATGCCGATTCTTTTGCATGTCTGGGTTTCTTTGTCGTTTCTGTGCAGGTGCCTTGTCTCCATGCTGAAATGGTTGAAAGCGGAAACACTTTGGAAAAATATTGCAATCAAAGCAGAAAATATGGTCTTAAACTAGTTTCGCCACGTTTTCGCTGAAACTGAGACCTGCACTGGACTTCGCACAATCGCTGGCCAAACAACAGTCCAAACAGAAACTGATGTGGGCAAAACAATAAGGCAAACAACCCAAGCTGATGTATCAGCGAAATTCAGCAATATATTTTCAAGGATAACCCCATAAACTACACCTAATTCCCTCATAAACTTTGCCAACTATCAGTCGCTGGCAATCTAATCGGTTGCAAGCCCACAAAATCGAACATATTGTTCATAGACCACAAATCCATTTGGAGTGTCATAATATTTGGTGACAACTAGCGAGACCCGGGGTGAAACATATTGCATTTAACTAGGAAAACAGCAAATCACGAGACCCACAAATGCCACTGGACTGAAGGAGCGGTGTGGCAGAAGGTATGACTAAAATACATATCTTACCGCAGGAGGGTGGCATTTTCGGATCGGCGGTGGTGGTTGGCATAATGTAGTCCCGGAAAGTAAAGCAAAAACTACCAAACAAAACAAAGGGCAAAACTCGAATGGGGGACAGCGACAACAATAAAATTAAAATGAAACTTCGCTGGAAACCCTACAAGTGAAATATGACCCTAATACAACTGTCCG